ATGAGTGGCCTCAGGACCCTTCAGGTCTCACAGAAGTCTTTCTCCCCCAACCGGTGAAGACCCAGGACAAACCAGCTTTTTTTATCAGGTGGGGAATAATGTTTTATTCATCCTTTTTATTCACACAGCCAGTGTTTATTGGATACTTGTTGAGTGCCAGGTCCTGTAATAAAAAGTGTGATTACAATGGTGGTAAGCGCTATAAAAAAAAAAGATGTGCTTGGTGCCACATGGGCCTATAATCAGGATATATAAGATATATAATCAGTTATGTAAGGACTATAATCAAGATAACTGATCTGGTAAGACCAAGGAAATACTGATAGTTAAGCTGAGATCCAAAGGCTGAGGGGACATTAATTAGGGAACGAGAAGAGGCAGAGTGACTCGGGGATAAGGAATGGTCTGTGCAAAGACTCTGCCCTGGGACAACCAAGGCACGCGTGTTGGTTTGCTCTCACTGCACAACAAGTCACTGCAAAACCCAGTGACTGGAAACAACCACCACTTTGTGTTAAGCCACAGTATTGTGGGTCAGAAACTTGGCTCAGTTCGGCCAGGCGGTTCCAACAGTCCGGGTGGGATGGTGGCTGATCTTGACAGGGCTCACGGGGGCATCAGCTTCAGTTACCAAGACAGCTGACCAAGTTACCGAGAGGAACTGGCTGGCCATGAGCTGGGGTGCTTGGTTCTCTGCGTCCGGGTCTCCTGTTCTCTGGTCAGCTACTCTGGGCTTTCTTCACCTGGCAGTTAAAGTCTCCCACAAGGTAGCAAAGCAGGACAAGCCCCAAAGGCCAAACACTTTTCACAACCTTGCACCATCACGCTGCCTGGGTCCCATCAGGCACATCCAGAGTCACGACGGGAGGAGCCACCCACGGGTGTTTACAGAAAGGCCTGCACAGGGGCTGCAACCGCACAACCTCAGTGTGTTGGAGGAATTGAAGGAAAGGAGGCAGACTGAGGAGGCGGGAACACTGGAAGGGAGCTACAAGCAGGCAGGAGGCAGGGCGGGAACGGCCTCCATGAGGATTCCAGGACTTGGGTCTTTCCCCTACCAGTGGGCCAGCCCTGGGGCTTCTCAGCCTCTGCTTTGTGGGTCTGGCCAGCACAACGAAACCCGTAAAAGCTGAACTTCCCTGAGTCATCTGGTAAAGCGGGTTTTCCAAGCTGAGGGCAGGACGTGAGCACATACGGCCGCACGGCCACGACATCCCAGGCCTTCCTTTGAGCACTGTGCCTTTGCTTCTCCCTCAGCTGGCAAGATCATCTCATGCCCTTGGAGGGCCTGTTCCTGTCCCCCCAAGAATTATTTCAGGCACCACCCACTTCAAGAAGCTCTCCCCAACTTCTCTGAGTCCCAAGACCAGGGACACGGCAAATGAAAGCTTGAGGCCCGGGGAATCCATCTGTGCTTCATGACAGCGGCTCGTGATTTCTAGGACCATGCTGGTGAGGGGCCTAGCCTGGCTGGGGTGACTCACCCCTGTGGCACAGCGCTTTGCCTGTGTGTAACCAGCTTCTCTGCCTGTTTGCTCCCAGTAGACTGTGTTTCTTAAAGGAACCTCCATAGACCCAGGACCCACACAGCAGAGGCATAAATAGTTGAAAGAATGACTAGGCAAATGAGTGGCTTCATCATTAATGGGGCTTTTTCTCTGAAAATCGCAGCCCAGAAAAGGGAGTCCTCATTCACTACTGCTAGAAGTGTAAACTGAAGCAGCCTCTGTGGACAATAGCATGATGCATCCACAATAAATTAAGAAGAGGGATACCTTTTGATCCAGCTATCCTGGGTATTTACCAAGGAATATGAAAGCACAGGTTCAAATAGAGTTCTGCACCCTATGCTCTTTACTGCATTATTTACAACAACCAAGTTACAGAAACAACCTGTGTCCATCAACAATGAATGGATAGAGACGATGTGACATAGACACAAATGGCAAGATTTGACTCCTTTTTGTTTTGGTAGCTGAGTAATACACACACTCACACACACACACACACACACACCAGAATACTACTTCACTGTTTAAAAAAAAAAATGGGCCCTCCCTGGTGGCACAGCGGGTTAAAGCACCACACTGAGAATCTAAAAGCCACTTCCTCATGAGTTCGATTCCCGCCTGCCCCGGAGGTGACCACATGGCGTGGCAGACCTCTCCTGACCCGCCCACTGCTCCCCTCAGCAGTGTACTTCGTAGATCTGCCTGTTCTGCTCCCCACTCTGTCCCTGGTGAATCCTCTCACTCTCCACATCTCTGGCCTGTATGAATAAATAAATAAACCTTTAAAAAAAAAAAAATGAAGTCCTGCCATTTGCAACCACATGGGAAGAACTGGAGGGAATAATGTTAAGTAAAAATGAGTCAAATGGATAAAGATAAATACCATATGATTTCACTCCTATGCGGAATATAAAGGAACAAAGCAAATCTAAAGAAACAAAGCAATCTTTTCAGTACAGAGAACAGGCGATGGTTACCACAGGGAGGAGTCAGGAGGGAGGTGAAACCACGTAAAGCTGGTGTGAGTTGTGTGGTGATGAAAGCAAACTAGATTCTTGGTGGTGGTGATCACATGCACTGTATACAAACATTAGATTGTAGTGTTGGCCACCTGAAGCTGTTACGCTGTTATACACCTCAACTGATAGAAACAAATTATAAAGAAACTAAGTCTCCCATCATGTAAATTGAGGGGGAGGGTTCTTTCTCCAAAGGCCAGGAGCTCCATCCAGGTTCTCCCAGGCTGAGCATGAAGCGACCCCCAGAGGCAAGCTGCCTCCTGGCTCTGGATGCTCTGAGGCAGGGCAGTCAGAGTGAGGAGAACTCCTTGGGAAAATGCTGCAGTCTCATCACCATGTACCAGGGGGAGAATCAACTGGCCGTGGCTTCCATTTCCTGACCTGAGTACCTGCATAGCTGTCTAGGGGCACCCGGATGGGCCCTGACCACCTGGGAACTGCTGCGACGGAGCCAACTTGTAGGATGTCTCCCTTACCGTAGGCTGGAGAAGTAACGCCTGTGAACCAGGGCTAAGAAGAGGGCACCAAAAGTCCCAGCCCTGCCCACCAGTCCTTCCAGAGACTTTTCTTAATCAGCTTCACTGGTCCTAAAGCATGAGGTTGTAAATCATAGCCTCTTTTGCAGAAAAGGAATCTGAAGGCCAGACTGCTTGGCCACTGTAATAGTTACGGCCACCCACAATTAAAAAAAAAAAAAAAAAAAACCCTACCAGCCTCCCTTGCAGCTAAATGTGACATGTGACCAGGTTGTAGCCAATGAGACATGAACAGGAGTGTTATCTGTAACTAGGGAGTTCTCACAAATGACAGCGCTATGTCTTCCCATCTCATTTCTTCTCTGCCTGGTTGGTCAACAAGGGTTAGGATAATGGAGCAGCAAGAAGATGCAAAAACCCAGGGCCTCTGATACCTGGGCACACAAGTTGGTAGCCACAGAATCAGCCTTGACCAGTATGAGCCTATATCCACTGAGAATGAAACACAATAACCTACCTTGACTAAGTTACTATTATCTAAGGTCTTTGCTAGGTCTAGATCCTCCTGATCAGACTGAGTTCCTCAGGAAGCCCAGGACCTCTGTGGCTGCCTCCCCAGGCACTTCTATTGTTCTTGACAACAGGACAATGTTGTCCTCAACTGCAGGGACCAGCTGCTTCCTTGGAATAAGAGAGGGGGAAGCTGCTAGAATGGCAAGGAAGGAAAGGGGGATAACACTGCTGATACCCCCCAACCCCTCCCCAATGTAGACACCTGTCCACAAGTCAACTCTCTAGCCATGAAGTTGAGTGGAAGGTTCTTTCCCAAAAGGCCAGGAACTCCAGCCTCTCCCAGTCTCATCCACTCGACTACTTCCAGGCCAGTTGATAAGGAGACACCCCATTCTTCAAATGTTCCCCAGACCCAGAAATTAAAGGGGTAGACCGTGGCACAGGATGGGGCCACCAGGACTTCATGCTGATCTCAGGTCATTGACTGAGCAAGGTATTAGGAGCTGCTAGACATTCAAACATACCCCTGGCTGGAAGGTGTCTGGTCTCAACTGAAGGAAAATGAAACACTGAACTCAGTGTCAAGAGTGATGGAGACAACCTGAGTTCAGAAAGTCTGAGCCTTGACATTAAGCCCCACCACCACGCCTTCCTTCTCTCCTCCCCAAAGCCACCAAGGTGTGTCCTCACCCATTCAATGTCCCATGATCACATTCAGGTCTTATTGTACTTTTATTTACAGAAAACACAGATAAAGCATTTCCATGTTCATGTAGCAAACTGATTCACTCTTTTTTTTTTTTCTTTTTGGCACAAAGAAATATCACGGCTTGACCCCAAGATCAGTCAGAAACCCCTAAGACTTATCAGCCATCTCTGGTCCAGGGGCAGCCACAAGACTCAGACAGACAGACAGACAGCATCGCCACAGACTGGAAAAAATAAAGGTCCACATTCACCTCACAGTAAAAACCTGCTCACCGACAGGCACGGGTGTGCAGGATGGGGCAGTTTTCTCTGCTCCGGGGCAGTAGGCTGTGGGGCAGGAAGCAGGACGGGGAGGGAGAGAGACCATTCATAAGTTAGAGAGAGAGATGGCCTTTGTGTTTTCAACCTCTTGCCTTGTAGAAATCAGACGCTGCAAACACTCCATACCCCCCACCCCTCCCACCATTCTGAAAGCTTCAGAAATTGTGTGGTTTGGGGTGTCTGTCTGTGTGTGTGTGTGTGTGTGTGTGTGTGTGTGTGTGTGTGTGTGGTGCTTGTAAACATGGTCACCATTCACTGCAGACAGCCATCCCACATGTGTGGAAAGGGGGGTAGGGTGGGGAACTGGACCCCACTTCAGGCCCCCTCTGCCCCAATGATTCCTATCCAAGACATAGTGCAAATTTCAGAGTCAGAAAGAGGCAGAAAGAGGAGGGCCTGGTGGGGGTGGGGAGGGGGCCCAGGGGCAGAAAGGACACAAAGACCCGGGACTGGGGGGAGGGGGGGAGATAAGGCAACAGTTAAAAACGGTCCCTTTTATCAAAATCGACACCATGTACCCGTCACCCCCACCCCAGCGCCCTGGTCACGAGAAAGGGCGGAAGTCCCGCTCCTCCACCAGGCTGATGGAGGGGTTCTTGAGTTCCTCCTCGGAGGTGGCCAGCTTGTACCCCAGCTGCGCCAGCACCCGCTGACAGGCGTTCTGGGCAAAGGCCACGATGTCATAGGACAGGCGGAAGCGCCACTTCTCGGCCGTGGCCGCCGAGTTCCGCACGGTGCCATACTTGTGCTTGCCCAAGGTGGGGTCACCCCGCGTGTTGTTCTGGATCCAGCGCGCCACGTGGCTGTCCAGGGGGATGCCCAGGAAGCCGTACATCTCCTCGGTCTTCTTCATGGGGTTCCTGGCCAGGTCCTCGTAGCGCACCAACATGTACTTGCCCTTGAGCCACGAGGGCCGCGTGAGGCCGGTGGACACGGAGTTGGAGAAGTCCTCGCACACCGTGGTCAGCTGCGTCACGTCCAGGTTGTAGGGCTTCCTCCCGGTGCCGTACCAGAGCCGCCACAGCCGGTACGTGTCGCGGAAGGTCTCGCTGCGGGAAGCCAGAATGCCGCGCGGATCGCGGACCAGCTGGATGACCTTGAGGTTTAAGCGCGGGTCTTCTACCAGGGCCCGCAGGTCGTTGACCTCGGGCACCCGCACGGTCTTGATGGCCACGTGGCTGCGCTCCCGGCAGGCCTCCGCGGCCACGGTCAAGTTCAACACGCCGCACTTGCGCACGCAGTCACCCTCCTCCAGCACCAGGTCCGCGGAGCCGGGCGGGCTGCACACCGGCCGCGAGCACAGCACCCTGCTGGCCCCGCGGCGGAAGATCCTGTCGGTGGTGTGGTTGACGGGCGGCGGCTTGATGTAGTTCTCCAGGAAGTAGAGGTCACAATCGTAGAGGCTCCTCAGGAGGTCCCGGCTGGCGCCCAGCATGACCCGCCGGTCCGCCGGGCTCTTGCCCTGGGTGAAGCGGGGGATGAGCGTGTTCTGGACGTGGTAGAGGGGCTCAAACAGGTAGAAGACGTCCAGGTGCTGGTTGAAGAGCTGGCCCACGAAGGAAGAGCCGCTGCGGGTGGTGGCCAGGATGAGGACGTGGGTCTTGCGGGACAGGTTGTAGGCAAAGGTGGGGCCCTCCTCGCACAGCCGCTCGGCCAGGCCCGCTTCCGCCAGCCCGGGACAGGTGTGGAAGGACTTGGCCGTGAAGGTGCGGATGGCCGTGTACTGGATGGCGATGGAGGCCAGGGCAAGGAGGAGGACGGCCTTCCAGGAACATTGCATGGCTGGGCACCTTCATGGGGCTGCTTCTCCACCAGGCAAGGGCTGTGGGCAAAGGTGGACGGTGGTCAGGGAGCAGCCAGCTTGGGGGCCCCACACCACCAGGGGCACCAGCTTGCTCCCTTGGGAGAACTGGCCTCCAGGCGCCCAGGGAAGTGCCCCAGCTCCCTTTCCAGTGCTCACACTGCATAAGGCCCAAGCAGCTAACATTCTTTGAGGACTCCTGAGCAGCTCCAGAGCTGGCTTCCAATACCCGGGGGTTTCGCCGAGAGAGCACTGCCAGGCCTCTCCTGTGAGCTCTGGTTTCCTCTGTGGGCCCCTATAGGGCAAACACCTCATTCCCCAAACCCCGCATGCAAGGAATGACCTGCTCCTGCCTCGAGCCAGTCCTCTGCCACCACCTGACATTCATCTGTCTGCATCTTGTGCTGCCCAGTTCCCCAGGTGGTCTCCTTCTATTCATCCTCTGGCCACCCCCAGGATGAAGAAGATGCCTCCTTCTAACCCCAGCCCCTGTGCAGAAAGGATCCCAGGGATCCCTGCCTGGATTGGCAACCTGCCAGGATCAGCCCACCCAAGCCTGCTGGGCCAGGAAAGGTGGGCAGCGGGGTCAAGGCCCTCCCATGCAGATGACCAGCTTCCTCCAGATGAGGAGTCCTGGGGCTCCCAGGATTTCTAAGAGTCAGCTGGCCCGGAGCACAAAGAGCTGCTAAGAAATACCCCTTCCCAGGCCCCGTCGCCCTCCAGGATTTGTTCATTGTCCCTGGGGTGTGAATCCAGGCCTCGGGGAAGTGACCTCCACATGGACAGAAAAGCAAAGTGGCCTGCAAAGAAGATCTGAGCCCAGGTTCCCCAGCCTCAGCCTCCTCTGCCTATGGCGTGAGCTCAGGGACCCCCTTCAACCAATGTGATGCCGCACTGGTCAGAGAACCCAGACAAGGCGGAGAGGAGAGGATGGGGTAGGGTCGAGGGGCATCTCAAGGAGTCAAGTGACAGAAGAAGAGGCCCCGGGAGAGCAGGCAGAGTGCGGGGCAAAGGGACAACCTCAGCACCCGGAAGCCCCCCATGAGAGACTAGTTCAGCTACCTGGCTGGGAGAGGGCTGGGGTGCTCCCAGAGGCAGGAAGGGATCCACCACTCACCAAAGGGGGCCGCTCTGAGCAGGGTCCACAGCCACCAGGTGTCCTGGTCAAGCTGCCTGTGCCAGGCTGTGCCGTGGCCCTGTGGCCAGCAGACTGCAAGGAGACCAGAAAGAAAGAGGCTCTGAGTGAAGAGTAGCACCTCTCTTCTCATCCCTTCTCTCTATGACCTGTGCCCTACAAATTAACCCCCAGGGGCCCAGCCTACGCTCCCAGATCTAGCACTTGGATCCAAATCACCCAGTGCCAACTCCGAGCCCCTGGGTCCAGCCCCTGCACCCTGGACTGTGTCCCACCCCACCCCGTAGCCTCCAGGCAAGTGACAGGCCCTCTGCTCACACCAGGACGCAGTGAGCATTTATTTGCACACCTGCATGCCCCGCTGACTGAGTCGACACCCCTCACAGGAATCCACCCCACAGATGCACCAACCCCCCCCCCACCTCCTGCCCCCAGGGAGCTGCAAAGAAATCCAGTGGCTACAAATACCCCCAGGCCTGGCTAGCTTTGTTCCGCTCTGATGACCAGGCTGAGCCCAGCAACAGAACAGAGCGTCAGAAACATCAGACCCAGGAAGCCCGGTCTGAGCTCAGTCCCCATGGGGTCTGCATTTGAATAAGACTCAACAATAAGCCTGACCCTTCAAATCTCATGGTGTTCAGTAACTCGGCAGAAAGGGACTTAGGGGAAGTCAGCAAGGGCAGAGAGGCTCACCCCAGACCTCCCGGGGAAGCAGCAGCTCCGGGAGGGTGGTCCAGGCACTGAAGCCAGCAGGGACTGGCGGGCGGGAGGGTGGCTCTTCTTCCAGGCTACCTGAAACTCAAAGTAAAAGTAGACCAGGGTGCGTTCCCGACCTTGGTTTTGTGTGCGGATTCTGAGTGAAAACCCCAGGAAGTTAGCGGTATTTTGGTTCAACTTCTACGAGCACTTCCTAAGTGCTATGCCCTTTATTTACATCAGCTCATTTACTCTTGGCAAGAATTTCACACGGCCCGAGTGCACGCCATTCCGCGGGCGAGAATGCCGAGGCGCCCAGAAGGCACCGAGAAGGCACCGGCTGCCTGAGCTCAGAAGCCCTCATCCAGCAGGCGCCCGGCCCTGCTGCCCTCCGAGGAGATACGCTGTCCTGTTTCTCCAGCTCGCTAGTACTTGGTCCTCAAACATGCATGCGATTGGTGTCCCGGTGCATTTTGCAAAGCGGCCTGACAATGACCAGACATCAGAAGGGCACAGACAGCCGATTTTTAAACCCGACAGCATGTCCCTTCCCTTCGCCATCCCGTCTTGTTCATCTGCTGGTGCTTGGCTGATGGGGTGAACTTGTGCTTTGGGAAGATTCTCCCCACACCCCTTTACTGGCATGACTCCTTTGGGGGGCAGGGCGGAGGGCTCTCACTTCCCAAACATGCAGTGCTGCCTGCTTCGCCTCACCCGGCCCTCAACACCGTGTTATCCTTACAACCCCCGGGCGAGGCTGGGGTCTTCCCTGTCACCGTCCAGGTGGAGAAACTGAGGCTCCAAGACGAAGCAAAGGTGGATATGCAAATGAGAAGTAGCAGAGACATGAATCCCCCTGGGCCAGGCTCCTAAGCCAGCTCGAGCCCCTTTACCCGAGTGGGGGGCCGGGGGTCAGAGCTGGCAGATCTGCTGGCATGGGGAGGGACGGAGGCAGTGGGCTCTGGGCCCCGAGGCCTGCATGAACTCCGCTGCCCCTGGGCCATGGTGCCAGGCCGCCGAGTAGAGACATGATCTAGAGCGCAGGAACCTCCAATACAATCAGAGGAAAATCTGCGCACACCCCACACCATCCCTACTTGCCCCGTGCAGGTGGGGGTGCTGGCTGCCACAGCAGGGCTGCATAGGGTGCCGAGGGAACCCCATCCTGCACGGAATGTGGACTCCCCTGCAAAGAACAGGCCTGTCTTGTCCCAGTGGCCAAGACAGTGGGGGCTGCCTTTCAAGAACAGGGAGGGCAGGTCACCAGTCACTGTGCTGGGGAGTATGTGTCAGTCGTTTTTTGATCTCCGTGTTTTGGTCAACAGACAACTTTCTAAATCTGTTTGTAATCACTGGATGTTTTTGTTTGTTTTGTTTTTAAATTTTTTTAACTGAACTGACATTGCATTATAACAAGTTGCAATGCATCCCTGAGAGTCAACCCGTGCTTATACTCTTTTTTTTTAAATAACATAATAGTTTATTTTTACATCATTTTGTGCCTTTTTCCATCTCAGTGGTAACCCCGAGGGCAGCTTATGCTCGAGTGACTTAGGGGCGCATTCTTAGCTGCAGTATCATTTCATTTGGATGTTCTTCCCTAGTATTTACTCTCCAACATCTCTCAGGCACCTGCGTGAGCCAGGCCCTGTTCCAGGCACTGTAGGTGAACTACACAGAGAAGACCGACGCCCCCTGCCTGCTCCTGCTTCCCGGGGCACAGTGCCCCTTGAGATGACTCAGCTAGGCTCCCCCTCACGTCTGACATCTCAAGAGGCTGATGCTGTCGTGACCCCAGTGCATGGACAAGTTGAGGTTAGATACTATTCCCCAGCTCAAGGCCCTGGTAAGGGCAGAGCCAGGATTCAGCCCAGCAGTGGGTTCTGGGGTCCATGGTCCATTCCCTACTCCACTCATATTCACCCCAGCACACCCCAGCAAGACAGGAAGCAGAGCCCTTACCTCTAGGGTCCAGTTCCCAAACAGAATTCACCCAGGGTTTCCTTTCTTTCTTTTTTAAAGATGTATTTTATTGATGCGTACAGAACTGGGGTACAGGCCAGAGGTGAGGGGTAGTGAGAATCCCCATCAGAGACCGAGTAGGGAGCAGGACAGGCAGACCAATGAAGTCCACTGCTGAGGGGAGCAGCGGGCGGGTCAGGAGAGGTCTGCCGCGCCATGTGGGTCAGCTCCCTGGCCGGGGATCAAACCAGCACTGCACTGAAGCGGCGGCTGCTGCTAGCTTGCAGGGCTGCGCCCTAACCCGCTGCACCACCAGGGCGGGCCCCAGGGTTTTCTTTTAAGAAGGAGCATCTTGCAGGGTGAAAGCATATAATTATCTTCCCCTCACTTCCCTGCCCCCCTCCGCCAGGGAAACCTAAGGCCAGGGCAGGAAGGCGCCGCCTATGCTAATAGATCAGCAGGCGCTGAAACATCTCGAGAATACATTCCCTGAGAAGTACACACACATTGCCAAGGTGCAGCACCCTGGGAGGGGGCTGTGCTTGAAGGTCCAGCAGCATGCCACCCCCTGCCCCGGAGGGCAGAGCCAGGGCATGGGAACAGAGGGGAGGAGGAATTCAGGCCCTCCTGGAAATGCCCTTGCTCCCCTGCCAGCCTGGCAGAGCGGGGTCCAGGGCCGGCCAAGCGGCCTTGGTATTCTAGAGGCATCTGCCCTAACCAGCGGCCCAGGGGCCAGGGCCTTTGTTCCCAGGGTGGCTCCAGCCTCTGCAAGACTCCCCAGTGCCCAGATCTTCCAGGACAGACTGTGAGCCCAGGGCCCCACCCTGGACTGCCAGCAGCCTCGACACCTCCCTCCACCTCCCGTAGTCAAAGTCTGGGCAAATTTTGGACACAGAACACAGAGTCTTCCACTTCTGTTGGAAGGCAGTGAACTCCCACTCCCAGCAGAAAGGGCCGTGGTAGTCAGCTTCAGACTAGGGTTACAGGGGGACACAGAGAAGCGCCCCTACACCCCGACACCGGAGACTAAAAATTCAAAGCCAAGAACTCAAGTCACAGAGCCACACGCACACAGGGTCTGTCACTTAGCAGGCGCGTGGGCTCAGGGCGACTCATCAGCTGTCTCTGAGCCTCAGTTTCCCCGTCCACAGAGTGGGTGCAACCACTTTGGCCGTAGAATCTAGGGGACATCAGGCATCAATGGCAGGCACAGTGGCAAGGCAACCTCAGGCTAGGAACATGGGTTCCGGGACCAGCCCCACTGACAGCCAGATTTCTCAGCCTCTCCTGGCCTCTGTTTTCTCACCTCCAATATGGGGGGTAACCTTAGCAAGGCCGGTGTGAGGACATCACGCAGTGCCCGGCAAAGAATAAGCACTCAATAAACATATGTCGTTATTATCGTTAACTGTCATTTTTTACCTCGAAAAAAACATCCCATAACAAGCTCACCACTGACCCTGGCAGTGTGGCAGACACTGACCCTGGAGGCCAGACCTCTGCGGGCCAGGCCCTTCTTCTCCCGCTCAGCCCAGCAATGGTTTGCCTGCTGCCCTCTCATGGCCACTTGCTGTACTGCAGCCTCCAGCCCTGAGGATTCCCAGCGGGTTGGCTGCAGCCTGACGTGAGAATGGGGCCAGCGGGAGGTGGTGTTGAAAGATGCAGTGAGGTGTGATGATGTGCCCACCAGGCCGCAGCCCCTGCTCTGTGCACCCTCTCTTGCTCACCCACACACCAAGAGGCAAGCAGCAACAGGCAGCTGGTCTCATTCCCTTGTGGCAGAGAAAGGAACTGAATGTCAAAGGCAGGAGCTGCCAACCACGGAAGCCCCAGAGGGCCGAGGGACCTTGGACTCGGCCCCTGCCCTCTCTCTCTGCTTTGGCTACAGACTCGCAGGCTCCAAGGGCCTCCCAGCTCTGACCACCAGAGAACCACCGGGATCGGAAGGCCCAGTCAGGGAGTCAGGGTCACTCTCACTGCACACAGGGGCAGGAAGGCCCCGGTCACCTTCCGAGAGGACACCAGGGCTGGGCAGCTCTGACTCCCACCTTGGCCTGATCTCTGACAGCCCTGGTGCAACCCACGAACCACGGGACTTGGCCCTCTGCTGAGTCAGGCCCCCACCTGTGCCCTGCTCTGTGGAACACCCAGCACCCAGAGCTGTGGCTCTTGGTTTTTTCTGGACTACAGACTCCTTAAAGAGACACAACCCCTCTTCCTGGAAAGATCCATGTGTGCCTCCAATTTAACACACACGATTAGAGGGTTCCAGAATCTCCCAAAGCCTACCCAGGGGCTCCCCTTCTTTCTCTAGGCTTAAGGGAGTCCTCCCACACCCTAGTATTTGCTTTCCAACTGTGTCAGAGAAGGCTCCACAGATGCATATATAGTGATTCAGAGCCATCGCTTAGACATAGTCGATAACAAGGCTAAGGTTAGAACACACAAGTGCAGCCATATGCCACTGTTTCTGGCTTGTAAACAAGAGAGTGTGTATAAACACCCACTGGAAGAACTTGCTTTTGACCCAGTGTAGATGCCTACTGGGGGGAACAGGGAGCCTGGCTCAGGAAAGGCACAGTTTACACTCAGCTTTTAAATTCAGTCTGAGCTAATTCCCATTGGGAGAGTCAAGTCACCTGTGCAAGAGCTCTAGAGGTGATCAACAACAGCATGGGACACTGAAAATCCCCCACACACACCGCATCTCACCCCCAGGTTCTGGCCCCAGGGCACCGCCGGGCGCCACCCCCCACCCCCCTTCCCCACGTCCAAAGCAGAAGGGGCTGAGGCGCTGCCTGTGTGCCAGGACTGGCTCACTCCACTCAGCTGCTCACCGAGATGACAGAGCTGGGGCGGCCCACGTGGGAGGCGGGGAGGGGCGGCGGTGAGAAAAGCAGATCTCCAAGTGGGCTGGGGGCTGCGGGGGGCAGCTGAGGCCTGAGTTGGGGGAACAGTGACTCCCCTCCCAGACTCTTCTCCCCAAGAACAGTTTGTAAGCCGGGAAACACAAGGAGGGAAAAGAACCTGAGCGTGGTATTTTCGACCAAGCTCATCATTCACGGTCCCCAGGCTCTGGGGCCCCCAGGAATCAGAGCAAGGGGCAGCGGGACCCGGACGGGGAGGGAGGC